TCCTATAGAACTGCTCCACAGTCTAAGAGCTGATCGTCATCCACTTTAAATACTGCCGATATGTAAACTTATACAGTCTATGAAGATCCTACATGTTCAACTTCTTCATTGCAGATTTGTTGCTGTCATAAGAACAGCTTTACATGGTGTTTAAAACGGTTTGTTCTTTACTTTAGAGCAGGACCGTCCAAACTTTTTGCCACGTGGGCCAGAATTGTCCACTCAAAAGTAATAGGGGGCAAAAAAAAACAAACAAAAAAACTACCTAAAATCAGGCAAATAAGGTAGTTTGGTATCTATTGTAGCTCCAAAAGGTGAAAGCGATTTTTACGTGTTACGACCATTGCAGATAGAAAAAAGTTTTAATTTTCCTCCTTTCTCGAAAAATTTTCAAAAGAACGTTTTCAGTGTTGGAAATTCAGAAATTTACAAGGTTTTGTTGTAGAAATTTCTGATATTAATCTAAACATTAGATTTTTTTTCTAGAAAACATTTGAGATTATTCTCAAAATGTCACTTTTTAAAGTTTTTTTGGCATAAACTTGCTTCTTAGTAATTTTGGGCATATGCTGTATTAAAAAAGAATCTAGATTTCAGTTTCTTTTGAACTCGATTGATTAAATTTATTTTAAGTAATAAGAACAGGCTTTGGGTCATTTGTTTCAAAACGCTCGCTATAGTTAGCCAAGTTTAAGAAAGAATAAAAGCTGATTTGGGTTCAGCAAAGTTTGTTTTTCAGTAAAAGTCTCGATACACTTGGTTTTACATTTTGTTAAAACTTGGTTGTAAAACACAAATACTTTGTGTTGTATTTTACATTTGCCTTTGTAAGAAAATTATGTTGGTAACAATTATTTCTGTTGTCTGTACGCTGTGAGCATATGAAAGACAAGCTCCTTAATTTTTGCTCAGATTTGACCAATAAAACTGAATCTAATATTTGATCCTGTAAAAAGCAACACATCCTACCCTGACTCAAAGAAAAAACAAAAACTTAGACAAGTCTCTGTGATTTACTGCATGTTTGCATGAGGCCAAAACTTTTCTTAGCTCAGATTTTAACTGTAATTTCAACAAATCCTCTAGGCACATGGAGAGGACACTGGAGTGCCTTTTGCAGATCCAGGCAGCCATGGACGAGCTTGCGGGGGCCCTGGAGCAGGCAGAGGGCGTGAGGGACGCCTGGGAGCCTGTTGGCGACCTCTTCATCGACTCGCTGCAGGACCACATTGATGCCACCAAGGTGGACACACACTGCAGAACACACAACGCTCACACTTAAGCTGTTACAAATCTGTTTTAAATATGGTCTAGTGCCTCCAAATAAAGACAAATGAGCTTTTATACACCGCAAATTTTAAAGACGGGAAGTTTTTGTCACCAAGAGCACTGAAGCGATGTTTCATGAATATTTCAGATCTGTATCATGCAGTTCTGCTTCAAAATGTTTGCTTGCGTAAATATGCCTGTCAGAGCAGCTGCGATGTGACAGACGATGACAAGGACGCGCCGCTTCAAAATGACGCTGCGAGGCGGCGGGGGTTACGATCCTTCTCCGCGCAGAGGTTGTTAAACAAATGACAGGTCATTGGTTTAGTCATTATTGAGTGCCGAGTGCCGCTGCCGCCTGTAATTGCGTGGCACTGTTCATTATAACTGAGGACCCTTCACAAAAATCATGTCACTGTTTGGACTCTTGTCACAGCCAGCACATGTTTGGGCCCAGTCTCCAGGGAAGGCTTGTCAGGTTTCCTCTTCTCTAGCTCTCAGTGACACGTGCACATATACATTCACCTACTGAAAGATGCTAAAATAAACCTGTGGCGTCTTCACAGGACTTGTTTTGACTCTTTAAACGCTGCTTTATGGCAGATGCAGAAATAGCTGTAGGTTTGTTGTTGCGTCTTTTCATCTTTTCTTATGATGGAAACGACAAAACTGAGGATTTTTTTACATTATTTCCTTCAGTTTTTGCCTGTCTGTGAAATAAAACTGCGTAGGGTGTTGAAATTTACATCTTAATCGCATTTTGTCCCAACTTAACAAAAATAAATTTTAATGTGATTCATTGAGATCGTATTGGTGACCAGTACAAAGTAGTGCATAGCTGTGATGTGAAAGGAAATAAAACTACAAGGTTATTAAAATATTTTACAAATAAAAATCTGAAAACTGTGTTGCATTCAATGCTTCTCCTGAATCAGCACTTTGTAAAACTTTTGGATGCATTTTTTGTGTGGATTTCCGGCTGACTTTTTTTTAATATATATATCTGGAGACATTTTTGCATATTTCTCTGTGAAAAAACTCAAACACAGTCAGACTGGACACAGAGCATCTCTAAATATCCTTATTCAACCCTTTCAGCCACAGATCCTCAATAACATTTACATTAAATCATCCATATGATTAATTTTTTCCATAAAAAGTTTTGTCTCCTTTGACTGGAAGACCGTTTCCTACATTTGCTATAATCTAGTTTTTTTTTTAATTCTTTTGACTCTAACATCCAGATTTGACCAATAAATGTCCATAGTGGCCCTTTGTCTGTATTTGTGATTAATGCTCTCCTTACCTGGTTTGTCACTTTAAACTAGGGGTGTAGCGATACAATAATTTCACGATACGATACGATATACGATATTCTGGTCACGATATGATATGCATCACAATATTTAATGATACAATTTGCTACGATTCAGTGCATTTTTACAATTTTCTGAAAGATTTTAGAAGGACAGAGTGATTTTAGTGACATTTTGTGTTCCATAGACTTGAATTTAGTTAACTGAAAACTAATTAAAAGCACCAACTACACAATACCTGACTCTGATTGAACAGTCTAACAGTCTGCAGCTGGACAAAATAAATCAAAGACGCAGTGAGAGAATTAGTTTCTGTCATTTAATTCATGTGGATTTGACATAAAACTCAAACGTTTAAACGGTAATACAGGAGCAGTGGGGTAATCCTTTATATACAGAACAGAAACCGCTAAGCTAAAAACTAATTACGAAGTGAATGCTACCAGTCAAAATTTGCATTAATTTCGTGATTTCACTGCTTTCAGCTGCTCCGTTCGCGCCGCTACTCCTTTCCGCTTCTCCGTTCCGCTTCTCTTTCACGGTTACTTGCGCAACTTTACTTTGTTCCTCAGCAACAAAATACAGCTCATTGTTATTTATTGAAGATATTACATCAACAAAAACACAGGAATCTAATGTTTTGTTTCATTTTGTACGTTTGGAAGCTCATTCCCTCTCACATAATCGGAACAGCCGGGGAATGGCGGCGCTTTTGACATTTCTCTGACATTCGGAAAAATATGGTTTACTAATTTTAGCACAACTTCGGTTATACTTGGCCTATTAACACAATTTAAAAACTGGTGTGTAGTTTATAATGTGCACTTTAAGCTCGAGTTGAAAGTTAGACTGAGGGAGGCGGAGTCTTGCTGCTACGCCGTAACAAACTAGACGTTAAAAAGAGCTGTCAGGCTATGGACCCCTATGGTTTAACGGATCGATACTCGCGGATGAAAAATTGATACTTTCCGAGGGCGGAAAATATCGATATATATCGCCGAATCGATTTATTTATACAGCCCTACTTTAAACAGCCGTTTGAATTGGTTCTGTTCTCTTAATTTCAAACAATCGACTGAGCGGTGATCCGTGAGATAATCAAAGCTTGAGATATTGCTTGATGATCTAACTCTTCTTTTATCGTCTCCACGGCTTCATTCCTGACTCGTCTGCTTTGTTTCTTGGTCTTTATGCTGCTCGTCGCTACACAATCCAACACATTTATGCACTGCTGTGTGTTGGTTCAAATTACCAATAAAAGACACTGAAGTTTGTGTTTGAGGCGTAATAAAATGTGATTCAAATAGTAAAAGTATTTGCAAAGCTCTATCATTTATTAGAGCCGTTTCAGCCACAGCAGCATTTTCCAGCCTGTGAATCGCCTTCTAAAATATAAATTATGTGAAGTTAAAGTTTTCCTCTTTTCACTTTTGCTTGGTTTTCTTGGCTGACTTCTTTTAGGCTCAAGCCATGCAATCATGTTGAAAATTAAATTGTACCTTGGACTTGCAGTCATAAAAACAATTCTTAAAACCGTGTATACTCTTTTGTCAGCCGTTATTGGGTTAGTATAGATGTAATAATAGGACTACTCTAAAATGTTCACATTGATCACAGAAGTAATGCCGCAAATCGATGACACAGCAGCAAGTGAAGATACATTTGTAAATGAATAAAGGAATGAAGCCACCTCTGTGGCTTTTCATCAATTTCTTTTAATCCAGATGATGCCTCCAGCCTCATTTTCTTTCTCAATATTTGCTGTCACTGTAGAGTAAAGGCACTTAGATGTTATTTAGAAAGTAAGACACTCAGTGACTGTTTTACAGTGAAGCTCTTTGGGCTCAGAAACGGGTCCATTGAATGTCAAGTTGCAACTAATATTTGGAGATAGAGGTCAGAATAAGTCATAAATTGATCAAAAATGTTTAGCAACATGATCATGCCTCATATTGTAATTTAATTATACTAGATTATTCACATATTTGGTTGTTGTTCAACCGGTTTGCTTTCATTCTGCAGAAATGTGAAAAGAAGAATTTCCAAAGTAATAAAAAAAGTTTTATTCATTTTTGTTCTGCTTCACAAATGTGTGCTACTTAGTTTTTAAATCACATAAAAGCCAAAAATAAAAATACATAGTTTGTTAGTTTATCTGTGCATTGGAACAAGTATTTATCATTTTCGTTTTGGGCCAAATCAATACCATGAAGGCTCTTAAAGGGCAAGTTGTGCCAGAATATTCACAAACTGTTGAAATATCAATACATTCTTAAAATAAATAATATTATTGAACATCTCTTCAGTCCCTCCAAGATTTCATGATTCTTTTTGTGATTTTCTTGAGTCTTTGTGGTACAAATTTAGAAATATTTGCACTTATTTATGATGGTAAATGGGACTTTTTATTACTTGCTGTATAGATCATGGACTATAATCCGACATCGGTTAAAGCTGAGGCAGTTGGTTAATACATGTAAAAAAGTGTTTTTCAATTTTTGAGAAAGATCAGCTATAAACTCCCAATTAGCACAAAAAGGTGCGGGGATTTGTTGATTTACTTGAATTTCCATGATAATTCTCAATAAACTGGAAGGACTGATTGATATAATTTGGCAATAAACTGATAAAAACGGCACTGATTTGACTGAAAACATAATATTTAAGCACATTAGGGGTTTAGTCTACAATCTGGGGGGCACATAAAAAGCTTTGGCCCACGAGCCTCGAGTTTGACAAATATGATTTAGCTCAAGATTAAATATTTTATCACACATAGATTACTAAACTGAGTTTTATCCAGCGTCAGAGAGACCAGGCACTAGAAAATTTTACTGTGGTTACATTAAACCTGTTTATTTTTCTGATCAGGAAAAGCTATCCTGATTTTTGAGATTGTTTCCACATTCTTTCAAACATTTAATCTTTCTGCTGCTACTTAGCAGTATTAATCTTGTGTTTGTTTATTCTATGTCTGTGTGATCAGAAAGCAGCATGAACAGTAGTTTTTCAACAACAAGGTGGCTCTAAAATAGCCGTTAGCTGCAGCCTTACACTCAGTGTTCAACTGAAGGAGGTGCTCAGACTCTTTTGACACGTCGTAGCTGAAATGTTTCCTATTTGTTAAGGAAATTACTTTCAGGTGCTGTTCGTCTGTTATGAATAGCAGCCAAAGTCCTCCAAATATTGAAGAAGAACTTTTTAAAAAGACCTTCACAAAGCCTGAAGAAATATTGATCATGAATCCTTTAAAAGATTACAGGAAACCTTGGCTCTTGGATAAAGTCGGACAGTTTGAAGCAGTAATGAATGTCGCTATATAACCTTCACAGATTACATGTTTGTTTTTGTAGCGGCTTTGTCTTCTGCAACAAAACTTTTATTTTAGTGCCTGTAAAGAGCAAAGACTTTAGCAAAAATTAAAATTCAGGTGATGAACCAATTTTTTTTTCTTAGTTTAAATCAGCTTTGTTGTTTCAAAATGTTTCCAGACAAATTCATGAGCCGTCGGTTCTGTTGACCTTCATTACTTTTACATGATTTATTCTGTTTCTTTTTGAGATCAGATGGTTTTCTTTCATTGTCTATTCATTTTTAGGCATATATCTGCAGTGATTAGAATTCATTTGCTTTGATTTCTAGATGTTACCTTACCATTGCTGTACAAAAGTTTGAGTAAAGGAGAAATTTAAAAAAAGATTTTCTTAACACTTTATTTGATTTGGTGTGCATAAGACTGACATGACACTGTCATAAACATGAAGAAGTCTTCATGAACACTTATGGTTGTCGTGAAGGTTCATTCGGTAAATAATGACACTATAATGCAACTTTTAATCCAGCTTTGCGGTAAAAGCTGTATTATGCAATTTTTCTTTAAAAGTGCCACCTTTAATGCGGCTTTGCATTAACAGTGTCATTATTTACAACGTTTAATGTAACTTTGTATTAAAAGTGACCATTTTAACACTACTGTTGTTTGAAAATGTCTCCTGTAATCAAATTTGCTTTAAAAGTGTCATTATTTACCAAAGACTTCTTCAAGTTTATGACAGTGTCATATCTTATTCACACCCCTTCACATAATAAAGTGTGACAAAATATTTTCTTTGATTAGTCAAGTATTATCCAAGTTAAGGTATTTTTTTTCTGATATTTACATTTATGAGTAGTATGTCCATTATGCACCATTTTGTGCCTCTTTTTCTTCTCTTTCTGGCTCCTGCAGCTGTTCAAGGAGGAACTCTCGCAGGTGAAGGAGGGCATGAAGCAGGTCAATGAGTTGGCCCACCAGCTGGCAATCTCTGATGTCCATTTGTCGATGGAGAACGCCCGGGTCCTGGAGCATCTCAACAGCAGATGGAAAGTGCTTCAGGTAGCGTCTATTGGCAGGTTTGATGCTGCCAGCAGCACGTTTTCCTGCAGGATGTGCAGGTGTAATATCTGGAGCTATAAAGGTGCTCATGCACATCAGTAGAAAGTGAAAACCTTTCATGTCAATAAGTTGCATCATTCGCTGCGGTTCCTCTTGCCTCCGTCTGAAGAATGTCTTTCAGAATCTCAGGCTTTCAACTCGTTCTCTAAATTTTAACTCTGTGGGAGGATTTCACAAAGCAGTGCGTTCTTGAAAATCTTTTAATGCTCTTTAAAGAAATTTGCACCAGTTTTTGTATCATGTGATGAGTGACCTTGGTTCAGCTGGTGAAGAACTGATTGAAATAGAACAGAAAAACATTTCCCTCAGTGAGATGATGATTTTTCTAATTAAAAAGTACAGATGATATGAAAGACAGGAGAAGGATTCTTCCTTAGATTTATTCAAAGATAAATAACATTTATTAATAAATAAGAAAAGTGCCTCTGGCTTCTGTTGCAGAGTGCTGGATACATTCTCTGTCAAAATTACCATCTGATTTCAGCAGTCGGTATTTTTCACAGCTTGCAGGACTTAAAAGGCTCTGATCTGAGAATCTAACTCTTTTTGCTCTGGCTGTAATGCACAGATAATCACAACAGCAGACTTTCTCCTACATGCAAGCATGACAGCTGATCTACAGCTCTGGATAAAATGAAGAGACTCCTGCACTGAACCCGACTGGTTATTCCACCAAATACTGATTTCTGAACTCTTCCTGAGTTAAAGCATTAGTATTGTTGTTTCTAAATGAATATGAACTTGGTTTCTTTGCATTATTTGAGATTTGAAAGCGCTGCATCTTTTCTTATTTTGACCATTTCTCATATTTTTGCTTGGAATTTTGGATACGTGTTGTCAGTAGTTCATATAATAAAATAACAATGTTAATTTTACTCAAATATTTATCTATAAAGATAAAATCTGAGAAACTGATCATTTTAAATGGTCTCTTAATTTTTTCCAGAGCTGTATATGTGGGAAAGCAATGAATCCAGAGACTCTGTTTGCTTGGCATATTTTATTTTTACTGTTGTCTGTGGTTTCAGAAATATAAGCGCATCCAAATTTAAGTTTGCAGATATTTAGCACCTGTTAATGCCTCTGATAATTGCTCCATGAATCTCTTGGAGTAGATTTTCCATCCCCTGAACTTCCTGACTAAACATTTAGCATATCAGCAGAAGAACTGCCTTTGCAAGTTGTTTATTTAAAATGTGTTTTTTCTAGAACAAAGTTCAACTTTTCAACCAAGTGAGAAACATCATCAGTATTATGAACACAGAGGCAGGGATAGACTTTGAAACACAAACTGTGTAAATGTTATTACTCTTAATTTCAAATTCATTCATTAATTCTGTTGTAAAATGTTTCACTTTCTAACACTTCTGCTAATTACATGTTTTCTACCAGCTAAGTTTTTTTTTCAGCCAAATAATGTGAACATCAAATGAAAAAGAGACAAAAAATCTTTCTTTTAATGTAATATTACTGTCTGCTTTTATCATCAGGTTTACCCTCTTGAACTGCAGAGCATGTCATAACTTTGACTAATTTTTTGCTCTTTGCCCATATCTTTAATACTTTATGTCGCTGAGTGCTTCTTCTTTGGGGATCATCAGTCGAGCTACGCGATGGTAATATTAACGGCCTGTTAAAAGCAAGCATGGACTCTCTTTTAAGACCTGCTTTGATAAAGATGAATTGAACTTTAGGAATTTCCATATAAAAATCTTCCATTAGAGATTTAAGTGGATTTCCAAGGTGAGAGTTTGGTTCGTTTTGCTTGGTCTGCACAGCTTTAGTTTTCAAAGTCACACAGTTTTGTAGCATCGCTCCTGAGAACGTAGATCTATTTATGACGGCAGATCATAAAATGCAAACTTTTTTTTTTTTAAACGACAAAGCTGCAGCAGGGTGATGCATGTCATAAAGCAGAAATAATCTAAAAGTGACGCTCCAGAATACCTAGAAGGAGCGGTAAAAACAGATGTTTGCAGTAGAAGTGTTTGCTTGAACATGCACTTACATATTGAGGGCAATACTTCATTGAATCTGAGGCACTCACCTTTAAAGCCTTTGAAACATTGAAGTGAACTTCCCCTCCCCTCCCTGCTGCGCTGATTGGATGGATGCACCAGCAGGGAAAGCTGCAGCGTTTTTCAAGCATCAACTGCATCCTCCGTCACCAGACTGTCTCTGCTCCTACAAACACAATAAAACCCTCTCAGCTTTCACCTGCTGTTAAAACATCCTGCTCACATTAGATAACCTTCATGACATCATTCTTCACAGCCTGAAATGTCAGCCGGCGCTTTTTTTACTCTCTCTGCCTCTCTTTTCAGATAATAATCATTTAGAACCACTTGGAAAGTTTGTAGAAATTAACATCCCACTTTGAAAGCAAAAGACCGTTTGTATGCAAAGAGTTTTTGTAGCTCAGAATTTGCCCATGTTTGATTTGCAACCCTTACAAATAAATTGACGCTCTAATATTTTCTTGGTCCACATGTTGAAAAGAAACTCCAGAACAGATTTAGCTGTAAGTTTCTCTGTCCATTTTGGTTCAGATTCAAACATCTTCGCAGCTGAATGATTAACATTTTGCAGACATTCAGGGTCTTTAGAGACTGCTTCGAAGAGGTCTTCATCACCCTTCAGCATTTCTTTGAAAAGTCCTTTGAGTCTGACATTTGTAGAGCTACAAAAATAGAAGATATTGAAAGTCTAATCCATTAATTTTCCTTTTCCCTTTAAAGGGAAAATGATCTACAGGTTATCCCCTTCTTTCTTTTGTTCTCAGTGAGGTGATCTGTGTGCCTCAAGATAAAACCCTTTATTTATAGCTTTTGCTTTTATTATTATGGTGTAAAAAATGCTGTTTTGGATCTATATTTCCCAGCAGATATGTATTTTTTCCCCTAAAACTTTCCATCTTTTTCCATCTGTTCTAATATACAAACAGAAACTTTCCATTAGAAGGAAAGAAAGAAAAACTACATCCAAACTATTTGGACTATTTTCACGGGGTAATAAAGTCATCTGACAGTTTCGGTTGTCTTTTTATGTTGGTAATCTGGTTAATAAAGGTCAGTTTCATGTGCAGCTCCATCTCAACCTTACACAAACAGCAGTGAATAAATCAATTTTCAATCAATATTCTGCACCAAGCAGTCCAGAACATATAAACATGTTTCCACTGAGGCTCTTTAAATGTGTTTATATTTGGTGACTGTATACAGAATAGACCAGGGTGTTTTTGCTTACTGCGATGAAAACCAAAAGAAACATTTCCCCATGTCCCCTGTGGGGCTCCATAAAATTGTAATTTAAGGTGTTTCCCCCCAAAAAAAGTGATATATGTGTTTCTCTGGACCTACTGTTATAAAAACACCTTGGAAATAAACATAGAAATAAATAAACGGCTTGTTAAAATGATTAGGATTACCCAGAAATAAAAAAAACAAGAACTTTCCCAACGTATTTGGTTTTACTGTGCAGCATGAATCCTGCTGCAAGTAGCCGTCAGGAAATTGGTGCGCTGCAGCCATAAAGGGACCGAGACGACCGGTAAAGATACTCGGGTATGCTGTGACATTTATTGATGCTCTGCTGGTTCCAAAGGGTCCAATAAAAGATTCCCAGCCCCATCACACCACTAGCAGCAGCAGCAAACTCAACCCCTGATGCAATCCAGTATGACGGCTCACCTTTGACCTTAGCAAGGCAGTTTCATCCAGCTAATTGCCTTTTGTTTTTTCTGTTTTTCTAACCCTAAGCATAAGAGATGGTCCAGGGTGAAAATCTCTGTGGATTAAAAGTTTCTGAAATAGTCAGACGGATCACCCGGCACAAACTAAGTCACCAAATAAAGTCGTTCAGTTTGAACTTCAGCCAGTCATCTTCAGCACGGCTACATGCTGCCATTTCATCGGCTGATTCATATTTATGTTAAAAGTTGATTCAGTTTAATAATTTGCATTTTTGTTCCAGTTTGACTAAAACAGTAGTCCTTTCTAGGTAAATTTTTTCTGTTCATCATTTGGTAATAATCTGACCTATTTCCAGATGTGGGTAGAGCACCAAAAAATACTCTAAAGTGCTCAAGTAAAAGTAGTGATACTTCAACATATTTTTACTCAAGTAAGAGTAAAAAGTAGCCATCCAAGAAATTACTCAAGTAAAAAAGTATTTGCTTAAAAGTCTACTCAAGTGCTGAGTAACTGATCAAACTATCATCTTGTATATTGTGAAGTAATTATTTGGTTTAAATTGCAACATTAAGTTAAAACTCAATTTCAGAATAATGAACTTTAAAAACGATGTTTAGACAATTTAAATCGACTTCATGAATTTTAATTCCCGAGTTAAAACCAGAAGAATTTTCTTGTTGACTTAAATTGCATTTTTTTTTAAGTTAAACCACCTACAAATGATTTACAGTGCAGTTGAATCTTAAAGATACCAAAGATAACATAATTAAAACAGAAGCAAATATGACATATTAACCACAAATTGTTCTTTAAAACACAGGCTTCAGCTGATATTTATCTCAAAAAGATTTTCTTTCCTCTGCTTTTCCACTTGATTCATTTTCTATGTTCAAACTACTCTATGCTCTCCTAGGCCTGACTCTTCATTTAATCCAAAATGAACAAAGAAAAGCTTTGAAATGACTTGATAGGGAAGAAATTTGATAGTATTGTACATTGTATTTCCAGAGGCAGCAGAATGAAGTCACCTTTCTCTTCGGTATCAGTTCTATTCTAATTGAAATATTAAATGCTTAACTGCTGTTCCAGATAGATCACTGTTTATTTTGGTTTGTCTGGCACTAGTGGAAGTCCTTGTCCAAATTTGTTTTGCTAATATTTGCCGTTCACGGATAATTTAGTCATTTGTCTTCCTTATGTCTGGCTAAATTGCCTGTAGAGCAAATAGATTGTAGAACACAGCAAAGTTGGCAGTAACATCTCCCAAGCGCAGCGACGTTGCTCTCTGTTCGTCTAAAACAATTTAAATCAAGCTCTAGATTGTATTTTTGAATTTCCTGGTCTGGTAGATGTTCACTGAAATCAGGTTCTTAGTTTTTAAGGGCATTGTCTATTTAATCTTTATCTTTTTCTCCTATCTTTGTCTGCCTACTCACTTCACAGTTAGTGGATTTACCTCCCATTGTTTGAGGAGGCTGACATGGATTCATGTGCCAAATCCAATACTTTTCACATAAACTGGGATTAGACAGGCTAAATCTCATTTGGTGGGAAACCTACCAAATATTAAAGTTTTTTTTTAAAACCATGTCGAGCTTAATTCTGTCAACTCGGTCTCCATGGCTATTGACGCAACATTTAACGCTTTCTCTCTGCAGCTGTCAGCCACACGACTCTGCAGCCTGCCGTACTTTTCACATAACAAATAATTTTCTAATCTCTGTCTTCATTTTCTACCTGCTGCTTCCAGGAGCTGGAGAAAAAAAAATCCAAAACAAATAAAACCCCAGCTAATTTTACATTCAGCAGTTGGCTAATAGAGAAGAAGCGAGTAGCCTGTTTGTTTTCCAGTTGTGGAGGCTTGTGATCGGGAGTGCGGAGCAGCAGGAGTGTCTTTGATTTAACTTTGTGTGTGTCTTTGTGTGTGTCCTCAGGGCTCCATTGAGGAGCGGCTGAAGCAGCTCCAGGATGCACACAGAGACTTTGGCCCTGGATCGCAGCACTTCCTCTCCAGTAAGGGTCCTCCTCTGCTATTTGAAGTTGGTGCCTTGTGTTGCAACAATCTGTGGCGTGCTGTGCCAAGGCACCACCTCAAAGAAAGTGGATGCATGTGTGTGTGTGAAGAGGAGGGAGGGTGTAATACAATTAGAAGCTGCTGAGTGTGTGTGTGTGTGCATTTGGGTTAGAGGTGGAGCTGGAGAGCTTTGTTCCTCTGGCGCACGTGGGCCTAATTTGATCAGAGATCCACATTTATAAATTCTGTCTCTTCTTCTACCTGCTGTTCTGCAGAGGATGAGGAGAAGCAGCAGGTTGTCTACAAGTGGGATCTGATTTAAATTCAAAATGAAATGTAAAAGCTCGGTTTTGTGTGAGTCTGTTGCTTCTGCTTCTCAAGTTGAGACCCATAAAATTAAACATAAAATGGTGCAAATTGAAATAAAAAATGGAAACATGGCAATTAAAAAAAAAAAGAAGAAAAAACTAAAGTTTTTGGGGGAAAGTTTTTCAGACACATTGAAACACTTTTTCGCATCATACGAGTCACGTGATCAACAGCCGGATGTTTCTACTGGTCAAAACGACGAAGAAGACGACAGGAAGTGGTAGGAGGAGGATGATGGGTTGATTTTGTTTTAGTTTTTTTCTTTTAGACATCGTGCAGCTGGATCCACCAGAGCTTTCACAGCATCACACAGTTCATTCAAACCTGTTGAATCCAGAGCTCTTCTGTAAAATCAGCCTCTAAAATCCTCTAAAACGTGTGAAGAGGCTGTCGCTCCAATGCCTGGATAAGACGCAGACGTCTCCTCTGACGGCTGACAGTGACAGAGTGCCATGGCTGCTGAATATATATACATTTATAATATATTATTTAACTATTTACATCCATTGCTGTCATCATTTTTAATGCCTTATCACATGAACAAGCTTATTCATGTATGATTTTCATTTAATTTCTTATTTAATGGAAACTTCTGAGCTGTGAAATTGTGTTTTTTCAACTTCAGTAGAATATAGATGAAGATTTGTGCATATTTGTAATGGAAATGCAGCCAGTAGTATGTTAGAAGTAACAGAGGCGTGTACTAACATTACTTTAGTCTTTAAAAAGAAGACAGAAGGTGTAATGCATCAAAATGCACCAACATAACCCACCACTCAATTCTGCCTGATGAGTGGAGGAGCAACAACATGGCAGCATGTGAACGAGGCGAAGAAGTTATTCAGAAGGTTAAAAAGGTTTCCAATAAACAGGACATTAGCGATGAAGGATGCTGATGCGGCGCCGTCCCGGTAGATTCACAAATCATCTCTTTATGTCTCTAACTGACAGAAAGGTCAAATTTGACTTCTGTCGTTGGCTTGGACAATGGTTTGGTTTCAAGCAGTCCTCCACAGCTACTGTTCTGCAACTCTGAGATGAACCCCTCCTCCAGAACGCATAAATCAGCTGAATGGGTCGTTAGCAGGCCTCTGCAGGGCTGAGTGGCTGCTGATGAGGGAATCCAGCTCTTTGATTCAGGTGAGTCGGAGCAGGGAGCATCTGAAAGTTACAGGAGTGAAACGCTCAAGGACTGGAGTGATCTCTGAGGTAAAGCCCTCATTTCTGAAATGGTTCAACATTTTACCGATCGAATCAGTAAACTATTGGTACCAGTAGATTAAATCTGTATTGATTCAGTCATCTATGATCTCTCTCTGTTCTTGTGTCTGCAATTAGTTAATCAATCAGATGATAAATTGAAACGAGCTTGATAATTCTCTGATAAACACATTTTCACTTGTCTCATTTATAAAGAGATTTGTTTTCTTTAAATCATTCTGTAAAGTTGGTTACTCTGTCAAGGTGAGGTCAGTGTTGAAAACTTGACTGTGAAAAGAAAAACTTCTGCACCTTTAATGTATAGAAGCACTGAACGCCTCTGGTTTGCATAAGATTACAACAATACAAGGAGTTTATATCCCATTAACTTCTTACAACCTTCAGTCTGTTTTATTTATGTGAAAGGCCAAAACGACGTCTTTCACATAAATACACCATGAAAGACATCATGTCTTCCACAAGTGTTTGGAAAATAATACAGGTTCTTATAAATCAGAACAAAAAGCATTTATGTTCTGTAAAAGAACCGCTCACTGGATTTACAGCTGTAAGTCTTTAGGAGAGAATAAAATGTCTGTCATCAGATTAGATGCAGAGTCTCTCAGTAGTGTCCAGGTTTTGCTGTAAAGTCTGAGCTGGATTTAACTAGGCCACACTAACATACCATATTTTCCAGACTAAAATTAAAAGGCGCACTTAAAAAGCCTTTAATTTTATTAAAGTAATCCAGAGCACCTTATATATTGTTCTGGAGTGAAACAGCCCCACTATTGAATTAGTGCAGATTATTTCTGGTGGTGCTGACTGGCCTCGAAGCGATTTTGTGTCAAAGTGTTTTAGTTGCATTACGGCTGCCGCAGTCAGCAGAGTGACACGTTCTGTGCTTTGACTGACTGTTTTGTTTTGCTTAATCCTCCTTATAGTCCGGTGAGTTTTATGTATGAATTTTATGTTTGTATAGTTATTGCGCTGCAGATTTTTTGTTGTTTTGTTTGTTTGTTGTTATTGTTTATTAGACTGTCTTCTGCAGCCTATAGCAGGTTTTCTGTTAGGCTAACAGAAAACCTGGTCACAGAAAACCTGGTCACAGTGGAGACAAGTTCAAGTTTTCACACAGTTTGTGGAAAACTGCAAGCAAGATTATGACTTTATTCAACAGCAGTTTTCTTGTTACAAAACTTTCATAAAGGTCAGAGTTATGAACTATATAACTAATAGTTATCCTGTTGAAAGATAATCGCACTACGAAGTCTTAGGGCCAGACTGAGAAAATAAAAACGATGTAGCCACAAGAATAAAGTTACAATATTATGAGAATAAAGTAAAAGTCAAACTCTATTTGTTCAATTCATTATATTTACTAGACATACAAGGAATCAAATTGTTTCTCGCCATCCACCAGAAAAACTAATAACTTGGACATCAGATAATAAATGAGAACAAACAGACTTGCAAGAATATTGTGTCTATATTCTTGTAATATAGTGACTTTATTTTAAAAGTAAACTACTATCATATTTTTACACCTTTATTATTGTACTTTTATGACTTTATTCTCATAATATTATGACTATTCTTGTAATGCATTTGTTTATTTTTGTTACATTTTCTTAGTTTGGCCCTCGTTCTCCATCATATATTCCAAACCGAACTGAAAAAGGGTAAAAATCTCTGTTTTTAGTTGAGTTTATCTGAACCAGAGCATCTGCTGGGAAAATCCCAGCCGACCTTCATCCTGATCAGAGCTGCCAGACTGGAGTTCATTTACAGCTTGGCTATTTTTCTTTTTTCTTCTTTGTTTTGTTTTGCAGCTACTTTGCAGGGAAATTCATGTTGATATATGATTTACAAAATGTTGTAAGGATTCCAGGAAATTAATTTAAAGGAGAAAAGTCTAAAAATGAAAAGCTTATCCAGTCTGCGAATGAACAGAATCCTGAATAATAGGAACTGGTTGTAAAAGGAAATGTTCAGGATATGTTTTATAAAGTTTATCCTTTGAAGAGCTAAACGGGAAATGAACGTCAAATCTGTCAATGTTTACATAAATGACTGGTAAACTTTGAGCTGCTTGGTTTTATTTCTTTCTTCACTTGCAAATAAATTTCTTTCTCACAGAGCCGAAAACATCATAACACTTTTTATAAAGTGCCAGTAGTTTTACGTCGATATTAATGAATTATTGACTTTTAACCAATATTCTGTTTAAAAGTTACCTGCAAGTTAGTTTTGAATTGTTTCAGGTGTACTAAGGTATTTTCACTAGAAACTAGACCAAAAATACTTAGTAATATTTTGTTATTTTGCCGTTAATGATAACTTTATATTAAGGGGTGTGCATAAGCCTGACATGACGAACACCTGTTATAAACAAAAAGGAGCCTTCAAGAACGTCTTCATGAAATGTCATTCAGTAAATAATTCGACTAATGACGCAAAGTTGCACTAAAAGTTGCATTAAAAATCCATTAAATATGTTAATTTTGCTTTATTTGGTAAATAAATACATTTTTAATGTAAAGTTGCATTAAAAGTTAATTAAATGTGTCAGTTTTGCATTGTTTGGTACATAAATACACTTTTAATGCGAAGTTGCACTAAAAGTTGCACTAAAAGTGTTTATTTGCTGAATGACACTTCATTACAGCAGCGGTAAACATTCATGAAGACTCCTTCATCACAGGTGTTATGTCCGTCACACCTGTTCAGATAAAGTGTTAGCCAGTTAATTAACTTGTACCTGTCTATAATGCTCTTCCTTTATCTATTCAGACCTTTATAGAAATTCATTACCTCTGGTTTTGCATTCTTAAGTTTGATAGTCCACATTTTGATTTTCCTAATCCAAACTTTGGCTTTGTACGAGTAAATGAGTAAATTCTCCAGGGATCCTCTTTCACCGACTCCCTGGCTGTGATCTACGACCGGCTCTCTGTGAGAACCTCGTTACACAATGAACTCGTTTCTCTGGCTTCACTGCGCCTGTTGTACCGGGCAGCGGCTCCGTTAGCAAAGGTCTGAATGGACGCTGTGTACGGACACGCTGTCAGGCGCACTGAGCACAGCTCATGCATGACGGGACCGCTCTCAAATTGATTTTTACCCCCCTCCTTGTCTCTCTCTGTGCTTGCACAGGTTCGGTCCAGGTACCATGGGAGCGTGCCATCTCCCCAAACAAAGTGCCCTACTACATTAAGTAAGTGAGTGTTTGTGTTATCCAGGTGAATGCACTTCTTCATGCCAGGCTGAATGACTCGGTTAGATGATATTTTTAGTGCCAGATTCAGTGAAAAAACAAACAGAGATTGGTGTAATGAATTTTCTAATATGCAGTTGATTTCCTCAGATACTTGCAGAAATGAGCCTTTCTATGCTGATTAATTCTTCAGCCTCTTTGGTGATTTTGTGGAGATCAATAGAGAATTTATTACAGTTCTGCTCACACATACGAGCCCCAGTTAGTTTGATAATTTATTCTGATAAAGTCTAGGCAGAGTAACCTTTTTGAAAAACATTATTTTGCCAGATTCTGTTATTTTTTTGTTATTTATATAAAGTATTGTCATTTTTGTCCTAAAAATACTAAACTTTCCACTTTATATTTTGGTCCATCTGATGATAATTTTTAAATATTAAATTATTTGATCAGTTTCTTAAACAGACGTTTTACCAAATACGTTTTTCTCTTACTAGAGTAATTTCTTGGACGGCTACTTTTTAGTTTTACTTCATTAAATATATATTGAAGTAGTGCTACTCTTTCTTGAGTACACTTTTGTGTAGTTTTGTGTACTCTGTCCACCTCTGATTGTAGGCAAAGATAAAAAAAATCAGCATTTATTTGTGTAATTCTATTTTAATCACACAGCAATTGAACCAGCGATGAAAAATCAGGATGGAACAGCGACAAAGTTTAGCTTAAATTTACCACCAGAGCAGTCGTCAGATTGATTAGCTCTCTGCCAGCTAATTGTCTGCCTGTGGAAATGATGAAACCCTGATTTTGATGCCGTCTTATTGGGGAACCACAGGGAAACATTGTAGAAGAACGACAGCCTGTCAGTAAGAAGTGACCTGCAGCAGAACCACCTGCTGTTGAGCGGGTTAGAGGGCAGAAAGCACTAACAGACAGCGGCGCTGCCTGCGGTCAACTTTCCACAGGGAAGGAAGGAAGGAAGTTCATCAGGCAATAATGTCCTGTTTAAATACACATTGAAACAGTTTTCCTGTCAAGACGAATCAGGTTTTCCCTGATTATCTGTACAAATATGACAGATTCAATACGTAAAACATCAATATGTTGAAGCAAAAGTTTCTTGTCTTTCTCTTGGTGTTACTGTAGATCTTATTCAGATCAATTCAGTGCCAACCAGTCCGGAAAAAAAAAAAAAACAACTGTACCATCTGCAGGTGTTTTTTGCTTTGACGAAAGGTCGTTGTCCAGTCAATGCAGAAGATTTTTCTGCATCTTGTTAGTCAGGATTTCCACTAGTTTCAATTAGACCTCTTCCAAGTTGCTTTCAAGGCTACAGGTGAACTTTAGTTTTCAAGTTAAAACACCTTCATATGTTTTACAGTGTGGAGCAAACTTTCAGGAAACACTGAGTTCCACTAAATCTACACAAAAAACATTTTTAAAGTTGCTTTTGCACCATAATAAATAAAACACTAACCAACATTTTGACGTGTAAATGACGGCACTTGGACATTTAATGTTTCGCTTGTTGATTTTTTTGTGTTTTTATAATGCCTTGTTGCTGAAATGTGCTATGCAAATAACATTTGATTTTGATTTGAAAGATGCAGAAGAGACCTGGGATAAACACCTTTTCACATAACTGCATCTTTATTGAACTTTTAGTAGCACACATATTTCCAGAAATGTTCAAAGATCTCGCCGTAGTTTAAACGTTTATTGGTGAGTAGAAAAATAATGATCGTGATTTGAGCAGAAGCTACAGTGAGCTCTGTTTGGCTAAGCACTCGTTTATTTATCAGCTCACCTGATCGATACTACTTATCCTCATAGAAAGACTTTTTTTAAATAAATGAATTGAGTCATAAATGTGTCATAGGTACATTTAGGCACAGAACGGTCCATTTGCAACTGAACAAACATTTATGCGCTTTGCTCCTCTGTAGACTTGCAGTATTTATCTTGTTAATCAACTGCAACACAACCTTGTGGGTCTTTGTTTAGCCTGCCAGTCAGTGCTTTATGGACTGTATTCCTATTCCGGTGGGGATGGGAGATGTATAGCATCTGAGTAGCTCTCTGCTCGGCAGTAATCAATGAGCGCTAGTGCAGGTAGAATGATGATTCCAGTCCTGAGAGGCCCGTGTTTTCTGGCAGACTTCCTGCTGTGGGGTTTCTCATTTATTCTGCTGCTCTTGTCCTTTTATTGGATCCATTTTATAGATGATACATTTCCTGGATGTTCCCTTCAGAGGAAACTGCAGCCCAGAGTTTTGTTTTTTCTTAAAAGGATAGAAATGAGTTGGATCATGTTCTATTTATGAGAGCAGCAGAGCAGTCATGTGTTGTAACTCTAATGCCTGAACATGAATCCTTTCATTATGTTTGACTCGTGTCTGGACTTTTCAGGCCTAAAATTTCTTGGCATGTCATGCAAAAAGTATTCACAAGCTGCGTTTCCATTAAGCATAAAACCGGGCAAATTGAAAATAGGAAAGTACTTTTGCTTAAAGCTGCAGAAATTAACTTTACAGAAAAAGTATAGACGTTTTTTACATATTTGTTGAAGCTGTCACTGTCATGACAGTATGGTATGCTCCTACCTTCTCCCAGTCCTCCCAGTGTTAACTACAAACAACCAATCAGAGTACAGATGCGGGTCAGTCACTATCGGGTGTGGCGCTGCTCTCTTCCCTTCCCTCCCCCAAACCTCTTTGCTCTCTCCTGCCGCTACAAGCTGGTCTTATTGTAAATGCTAAGGCGGATAAACGGTTTCTCTGTAATGGTAAGTTGTTTCTCCACCGATTAGCACATTTAACAGCAAGTGATTGACAGCATTAAGACCCGCCTCCTGGCTCTGATTGGCTGATTTTGGGCGGTGAGCTGTGCATTTCTTCAGATGGCAGTAATAGCTCAAGAAGGAGGGGGTAATTTTTTTCACAGATTGTTAATCTTAACAAATATGTAAAAACACATGCTTTATAAAAGTTAACGCTGCACCTTTAGAGGAAAACGTGTTTTACATCTCTTTTCAAATGAAGAGCCCACTACACTGAACCTCATTGAAAACCTGCTAAAACTATTACATCCATCACCGCCTTGACTTTTAATGACATATTGCGTTAACAAGCTCATTCACATGTGATTTTAATTTTTTTCTTATTTAAAAGAAACACCACAAGTTGCCAAATTGTGTTATTTCGGCATTAGCAGAATATAGACAAAGATTTGAGCACGTTTGTAGTGGAAACGTAGCTACTATGTTCAGATCCTTCCCCATCTCTCTTATTCACGCCTTTTTATTCTCACTCCTTTTGTCAGCTCCGCTTTGATCAGTGAAGTCGTAAAGAAAATGTGCTTCCATTTGTCCTTGCTACATGAATCTATTTGCCTTTGTTATTTTCTCTTTCAGCCATCAGGCCCAGACAACATGCTGGGACCATCCAAAGATGACAGAGCTGTACCAGGCGCTGGGTGAGTGAAGAGGCGAGCCGTCCTCGCGCTCGTTCGTCCGTGACCTCGGTCGGCCTGCAGAATCACCCCAAGTTTGGGTTTGGGCTGTTAAGGCCTTATCTCGCAGCTCATTAAGCGACCCGCATCTCAATCACCTCGAGGGCTACATTTCTACTGTCATTAACCTATGAGGCCCAATTTGCCAGCGCTGTGATTGCTTCCCGCTTAGCCTCTAATTAATTGTGATTAAACGACACGATGCGTCTCACAGTTAATCTTGTCTGACACAGGGAGTTTGCGGGAATAGATACGCACACCGTCGCAGCTGGACCTGCATGTGTACCAAGAAATGCGAGTGTGGATAATGTTTCTAATACAATAAAGTGCTAATGACTCTGCAGCGTGGTGATAAACAAATGGGACAGATTTGGGATGCCTTATTCCTCGGTTGCAGGGTGGAATGGATTAGTTCTCCCTCTCATCTCTTTAATCTCTGTCTCTTTTTCCTTCCACCAGCGGATCTGAACAACATCAAGTTCTCTGCATACAGAACAGCTATGAAGCTTCGACGGGTTCAGAAGTCTCTGAGATGTATGTTTGCTATTTTGCTGGTGTATTATCTGTCTGATTGCTTAAGTGATATTTTGTTATCCTGCACCAGCAGTAATTCACTGTGACGCGCTCTCTGTGATGCACCGATTAGCTGTGGCACATTTGTTTAGTCAGCGATCAAAAGCGTCATGGCTCCCTCCACTCTGCCTGGAAACAGATGAAAATTACCTGTTGAAGTTGCTCCCCGCCCCCACCTTCTTCAAATCAGACAAAATTGGTGTCAAATGTTTGTGCTGCTACCATTTTAACCCTTCCAGTCCAAACAGAGCGCCGGTGATCCAGCCAAATTTGCAGTACCGTATTTCCGCCACACTTTGCGCTATCTGAAAAATTTCAGCGGTTTCTGAAAAGTGAGACGTTTTTTCTTTCCAGCCAATATCGGGTTATTACGGTAATCTCCCCCCCGCCGTAGCAGAGAGTGAAATTAATCTGATGAAACACTTTTAATAGACGGTAAATCGTGAAAACAGCTTGCTATATTTTGAAAGTTGTTATGGATAAATGGGCAAATATATGTTTACTCACTGGTCATTTAAATAACTTTGTGCAATTAACATAGTTATTAATAGTCAATTAAGCAAAGCAAAAATATCCAGGTGGAGATTTGAAACATTAAGAGATGTTTCCAAAGGTCATGAAAGGTCAACCAGCCCCCCCTCCCACACACACACACACACACACACACACACACACACACACACACACACACACACACACTTTTTTTTAAATCAGACAAAATTGGTGACAATCAACTTGACAGCAAAAATTTTTGTTTTGTTCTATTTTGGCTTTGAAGATATCAATGAAAGTTTAAAGGTCAAAAGGTCAACCAGCCGCCCCACTTTTACGAAATCAAAATGATTTCATTAATTTCTTCAAAGCCATTGCAGCACAAACAACAAATTTGCTGCACAAACATAGTCGAGTTGATTGACATCAGTTTTGTCTGACTTGAAGAAGGTGGGGAGGCTGGTTGACCTTTCATGACCTCTGGAAACAATACTTTATAAAATGATAGCGTCACGAACGAACATGTTTTCTGCACAAACGTTTGGCGGCGGTTTTGTCTGATGAAGAACTTCGGTCAGGTTTGAAAACATCCTGCTGTTGGGTTTAAAATGCACCAGTAATCCTCATTGTCATCACAGCCTTGCATTTTGCTTAATTGACTATTAATGGGTCCATTTGAGTTACAAAATGGAAGTTAATTAGTTTTAGCTGCTTGGTTAAAGCCTCATTGACGGTCCCATTGGGGTCGATGCCTTTTCCTCCTTTTTCAGGAATCTGACCCCCGTTCAGCCCATTTTCACCTTCCACTCATTTTATTCCCTCTCTATTTCGCTTTTCTCTCCTTTTCTGCTGTAACCTTCCTGTAACCTTGCCTCCTTCCCACATACCAAGTCGCCATAATAAAAACTCAGCAAGCGCGTAAAACCCTTTTCTGTCACTTTCTCTTTCCAGCTGTTATCTCACCGTCCTCGGGTCTAGGAGTCGATATCGTTACTGAATTTAATTGCTAGGCTGCCTTGATAACTAGCGAAGCCTCATTCTTCCTCGCCCCGAATGGCTGAGCAGAGCCGCGTCAGAACCCATCAAAAATGCATTTTTGGGTGATTCCCTCCCAACCCTCAAAATACTCCCCCTTATCGCTCCTCTCTCTGTTCTACCTCATTATCGCGCTATCCAATTACACCTGGCATCAACGGACACCCTTTTAGCTCCGCTCCCAGCGATGGGCCATCAAATTAGTTTAGAAGAGCGAAATCAAATTTGTGTCACTGCTCTTGAAACATATGGCGAGGCTTAAGCAGCCAAAATGGGTGAATAAGCACCGCTGCTGCGGCGTGGAAGAGGAGGCCGCTGGTCACAAGCGAGGTGAGCTGATGTTTATATGCATGTTGATTTGAATGAAACACGTTTTAAGCCGTTTTAGTTCCAACTGTAATGCACACGAACACCTCAGATTTGACCTTTCACCTTCGACAGTTGTTTTTCTCCAGGCCGCTTCAAAATGTATCTGCTTATTTTGAACAGACAAAAAGTAAAAATAATAAAAAAAATAATTATCATGGCCACTGACATTCAATTTTACATAAGGACCTCTCACACCTGATAAACTCTTATATTGTCATTGTCACTGTTATTGTTATCTGTAGAGCTTCTGCTTCTTGTTGGTTTGTAAACATTTTGTCTATGTAATATAATTTATTTGTCATGTTGAACAGGCACATGAATATTACAACATGGTTTTAATTACAAATTTTTCATAATTATTGAGCCAGTAAGTAACATATTTCATTAAACTGAAATAAAGGGTCGGATTTAATGCGTGTTCACTTCTTCCTACTCCTTTTCAAACAGAGAAGTAGTGGTAACTAGATATTTTATTCTTGGTTATTTATGCACATGTTTTCTCTGCCCTACTGATTGTTTGTCTTCTTGTTTTTAAAAACCTGTTTGAAATAAATAAATCAGATCAAATTCCCATAATGAATGACACTCATTCTCATCCTTAAATCTAATATAATCATTTGTTAGTTGTTAAAGTGAAACTAACCCCAAAATTTACTTTTTTGTTGATAACTAAATAGGTTATTTAGGGTTTATTTCTATGTTTCTGTTTGAATTTTGACATTTTTGTGTAAATTTGTATAGTTTTGCTTTATTTTGCCATCAGCACAGACCTGGTGGAACTGCTGATTTCAGTATTCGAGTTGCGTCTCAGTGAAACGCTGGTAAAAAAAAAAAGAAAAAAGGTTGTTAAAGGGTTAATAGAGGAGCCATGTTGTGACGACTTCCTGAAGGCGGAGTCTCAGAAAAATTCAAAACCGTTAAATTGAAAAGTTAATTTCTTTTAAGTCATAGAGGAATTGTTTGTTTGTAAACACAGCGGATGAACGCGCAACCCGACTGCAGGAAGGGCCGGCCGTGAAGCGCTCACTGGTTGCCGTGGTTACCTGCATTTATTTTGTCCGTATTATTAAGGTTCTAATATTTAATCTTAATATTCAGAAACATGCAGGAAACTAATTTCTTATTTTGTTTGTGGAAAAAACGGCTGCTTTCACAGATTGCTTGTTGAGTGTTACCGTAGCGCAGCTCGATGTCAGTGTGTTGTGTGTGACAGAAACTTGTGTGTTGTGTTCAGTGGACCTGGTGGCGCTGAGCAGCCTGGTGGACGTGTTTCGGGAGCAGGAGCTGCAGCAGGGGGAGCATGTGATGGACGTGGTGGAGGTGATTCACGGCCTGACGGCCGTGTACGAGGGGCTGGAGGAGCAGAGGTCCCTTCTGGTCAACATCCCTCTCTGCGTTGACATGTGCCTCAACTGGCTGCTCAATGTTTATGACAGGTGGGTGTAGCTCTTCCTGTCGAGGTAAAACTGAAGCATTTGTTGAAAACGGTTTGCGGTTTCGGCTGTAGCTTGATGAAGGGTTTATACATCCAGCTGACAAGGATTCCCGTCTCCCACCTCTTTACTATTTTATTTTTACAGATATTACCTTTCTTTTTCCATTCGTGTTTCTCTGGCACAAGCTAACCAGAGGTTACCAAAGACAGATAAAGTATAGCTCTCTTATGAAGATGGTTAACTGAATGATCAAAACTTTTATTTCTTCAAAGATTTGAAAGATGTTGAAGCACCCAAGACGCAGACCTCGTCATCATTTCTGCTCGGAGTGATTAGCTTCAGCTAATTCAGCCTTTGACTTCTTTGCACCTGTGAAACAACTCCGCGCATCACAACAGGCTTTGCTTTGACTTAATATTTGTACGCGTGCTTAGACTCACTGTGATCCTGAGAATCAGCTTGTATTTTAATTCAAATAACATTTTTTTGACAAACTCTTCCAGCATTGGAAAAATAAGCCATGAAACCGTGATGCTGCCATCACCATGTTTCATTTCGGGTATGGTGTTGATTTAATGATGCACACTGCTGTTTTTCTGCCAAACCTTTAAGGCACCCGGCTGGGGGCCTCTTCAACTTAAAGCTTACAAATTAATTATTTTGCACTTTATCTGTAAAGTTATTTAGAGGAAGCTAACTGTACTGTTTTCAAAATTATCAAACTTTTCTCCGCTATTAGCAGATTAACAGAAGTGAACCCATCACTCTGTTTCAGTTTATCGAGTTTTACTATAACTGATAATAAGTTTAATCTCATGAAGTTGATACAAAAGTCATTGTGAAAATGTTAATTTAAAATATTTGCACATTTTCTTTTTGTCTTTCTCACATATTTGTTTTTATTTGGATTGTACCTATGTTTCTACGTCACGCTAAACATCGAAATGTTTTCACGGCTGCTTGAATAATTTTTATCACTTCCCAAAAGCCTGGCATTTTAAGTTAAGTGTTCACTCTTCTTATATACTCTGTAGTTGTCAAGTTAGAGAAGTCTGGAGAGTTAAATCCATCCAGCAGTGAGTGGCACTAATTTCTCTCATTAAATGTTCATTAAATTTGATGTTGCACTGAGTCAACAATATGTCAGAAGATTAAATTCCCTCAAAGGGATTTTATTGCACAACAAAGACAATTGAATGCTCCTGAATGTTGTTGATATCTAAATATGAATCTAGACCAGAGGTCGTGCTAGACTTTTTTGTTCTCTGTCATTTTGACCGACAGGATGAAAAAAAATTGGGGTAACACTGTTTAAACTTTACCTTTAATAACATAAAGTTACCTATTTTTTAAAGTGCAATCAGTAATTATTTTATAACAAATTTATATCAGTAATGATTTCTTGGTTAATGTCAAGTTGTCATAACAAAGACATTTTGAATAATGTCAACTTTGTATTAAAAGTGTCATAATTTACCGAATGACGCTTTATGACAACAGTCATAAATATTCATGAAGGCTCATTCATGTTCATGACATGTGTTATGTCATGTTTATGACAGTGTCACGACAGTCTTATTCAACCCCCTTCAAATAAAGTGTTACCAAAATCGGTCATGTTCTGTTTTTACCTGTCAAATTATAAATCGGCTATTTAGCCGCATTTTTATGCGGTTTAGTTAATATTCACCCAGTTGAACCGTGAATCCAGATCCCATCACACATAAAGCAGATAAA